GCTTCTGCTGCCGCCGCCGCCGCGCGCCGGGGGCAAGTGTTATCAATTTTGAGTTATCAAACTATTGGGTTTTTCTGTGAGGGATTTGTTTTTCATTCTTAATGTTATTTCTCGTAGGTTGAATGTCAAAGCTTTCATTAGCAATGTGAAGACAGCTCTTGCTGCAACAAACCCAGTGAGTACATTCCAGCATGTATGAGAGCATTATGGCCACCTGTGTGGTTCTGTTCTGATTTGGAAAGTTCTTTTTGCTGTCTGTCAGGCCGTGAGGACGTCTGCCATCACCCTGCTGGGTGTGATGTATCTGTATGTTGGCCCTTCCTTGCGAATGTTCTTTGAAGACGAGAAGCCTGCACTCCTATCCCAGATAGATGCAGAATTTGAGAAGGTAAAGTTCCCCCAAAGGCTGTAATCCATTGGTGGAGTGAAGAATCTCCTGTTCGGGACTAGCAGTTAGCGTAGTGGCCATGTCGCTGGACTCCCACGTAGTTGACCGCAGTTTGAGTTCCGGACCCGGTGGCTTAAACTCACACCGGGTGTGTGTGCATGCATGCCCAGGGTCCTGAGAGGAGAATGGAGAAGGGATAGCAGCGTGGTCATCCCCCCTGGGGGGTGATTCCTCGCTTTCTGTCTCTCTGTCTCTCTCTGTCTTTCTGGTGAGCGCATACGCCCTATAGCAAAAACCTCTCCATTTAAAAAAAAATGAAGAATCTTCTATTAGTTGATAGTAAAGATTGAAACCTCTGGAATAAAGAATATTCGTGTATCTTCTTTTATATGCTAGAAAAATTCATAAGAAATCCACGACTTTGTCTATGAGAAAGGGAACTGGTCAGCTACGGTAAAGGATGGGAGAGTTTCCTCTGGATACTTTTGTACCTTTGGAATTTTAACTGTTGTAAATGTGTTACCTATTCAGAAAGTACCTTACATATGATAGTTTGTAAAAACTTAAAACAGAAATGAATTTTTTTTTTTTAATGAAAGAGAGACAGACTGGCAGGTAGGAAGGCAGGCACCCTTGACAGGACCTTGTCACACCCTGGTCCCTCCCCCATGGCCATCCAGCCAGCCAAGATCTTGGGCGCACATGTCCGGTGTGTTTCAAGTCAACTCAGGATCCAAAGCCATGTGGCTCCCAGCACTACTGGTCAGTATGTTGCCCCCAGTGCCTCACGGCTGGGCCAAATAAAGAATCCTGACCCTCCTTGAATAAACTTTCTAACTGAAATAGCTGAATATGTCAGATTTGCTCTGTACTTTCTTGGGTATGCAAGTCCAAAACTAGCTTCATGATGGAAAAGCTAAGTTCTAATAAGTTTATATAAAAATTCCTTTTACCACATAGTCTCAAAATTAAAATCCACATAGTAATTAAAATATCTATTGTGTAAATGACTATCATGGGGCCAGATCGGTGACACTGCAGTGGTGTATGCTCAAGCGATGCAGGAACCTTATGAAAGAGCAGATTCTGTGCCCAGTGGGCCCATATAAGCTGGGCATCTGCACAGGGTCCTGCTGGTCTGGGACGGCTGGGCAGGGGCATGGTGTAAGACCACTTGAGTGATAGCTGTCTTCACCTCTGCCTGTCTAAAAAGTAAAACCGGAAAAAGCTGTTATGGGCCAGCTCTGTGGTGCCCTGGTAATGTGCTATTCAAGAGAAGCTGTATCCCACAGGGCAACCTGGGGTAGAATCTCTGATCTGGTCACCCTGAAACATGCCAGACCCATGCATGAGTGCCTAGAATCTGGTGAGCTAGAGGACTGGAGGGAGGCAGTTACAGCATGAACAGAACCTGCCAAGGATGCTCATCTCTATCTGTGTCTCACCTGTGCACCATGCGACCTGTCATGGCCATAGAAAAGAACATTTTTTAAATTTTACTATAGTGCCCTCATGCTTGTCAGAGAGAGACAAAGAGAGAGAGAAAGCATCCCCTCCCCTAGCACCCCAGGGGACAGCCACTCCACTCTCATCCTTTCTTCTCCATTCACCCCTTGGGATTTTGAGATACGTGCACACATACTGGCATGTTTCTCAAGCCCCTGGGTGCAGGACTTGAATCACATAGCAAGCCATGTGGGATCCAGCTGCCCTAACCACCATGCCACTGACTTGCCCAAGGAAAAAAAAATTTGCTTTTAATATGCTGTAGGGCACATTAGCTCACGGGAAAGAGACAGGGAGAGGGGAAGAAAGCACCCCCTGGGGGGATGGCCATACTGCAGTCCCTTCTCCATTCTTCTCTTGGGATTTTGGACACACAGGCACCTGGCAAGTCCTCCAAGCCACTAGGTCTGGGACTGGAACTGTGTAGTCAACCTTGAGAGATCCAGCTGCCTCAACTACCACACCACCTAGCTAAGCCCCCCAAAATAAGTTTTTATAAAGGCATTTTAGGGCCAGTAGGTGTGTGGTAGTTGGGGTGGCTGGATCTAACATGATTGACTATGCAGTTTGAGTCCTGGACCTGGCACCTCGAGAAACACACCGGGCACATGTGTGAGTGCCCAGACTCCCAAAAGAAGGAAGGAAGAGGTGGAGAAGGTATTGCACTCTGACCATGCCCCCTGGAGGGTGACTTCTTGAATTGCATCTCCCTCTCTCTGTCACTCTCTCTGGTGAGTGCACACACCCTGTGGCAAAATTTTTTTTAAAAAAGAGAGCCAGTCAGTGGCATGGTGATTAAGTTGGTTGGATCCCCGTGTCCCACTGTGTGGTTCAAACCCCAGACCCAGCAGCTTGAAAATCATGCCAGGCATATGTGTATGACTGCCTAAAATCCTGAGAAGTGAATAGCGGAGAAGGAATTGCTGGGGGGCCGGGATCACAGTGTGGTCATCCTCCTCTCCCCCCAGCGGAGTGATTTCTCACTTTCCCTCTCACTGTCACTCTCTTTCTCCTCTCTAGTGGTCACATGCACCCTTATGACAAAAACCTTTTTTACAAAAAAAATGGTGTTAGGATGAGAGTTTGACACAGGCACCTTCCCTGATTTGTTTGCATTCACATTCTTCATCGAGTTCATTGAGCCTCACTCATTTATTTGTACGTAGATGCAGGGACAAAGCCCACCTGCTCCAACCAGAGGGATTTCCAAGCACAGCGTCAGTGGTACAGATGAAGGAGAAGATGGAGATGAACCTGATGATGGGGGCAATGATGTTGTTGATCTTTTGCCAAGGACAGAGATCAGGTATGGTGCAGTCTGTGAAAGACTTGAGTCCTTGTACTGAATAATTATTATTTATTTTTAAGGTTTTTGCCCTAGGATGCATGTACTCACTGGAGAGATAGCAAGAGGGAAAGTGAAATTTCCCTCCGAGGGGATGGCTATGCTGCAGTCCCTTCTCCATTCTCCTGGGGTTTTGGGCACGCACACACATGTACCTGGCTGCCAGATCTGGGACTCAAACCTGGTCAGCCATATTGGAGTCTAACACATTAACCACCACACCACCTGCTGGCCCTATGTACTGAATTTTTTTTTTTTTTCTTAAGAAAGATTTTTGCTATAGGGAGAGAGACAGAAAATAAGAAATCGCTCCCCCCCCACCCCCATGCCACAATCCCTTCTCCATTTTCCTCTGGGGATTTTGGGCATGTATGCACACATGTCTGGCATGAATTTTAAGCTGCTGGGTCCGGGACACGAACCACAGTAGACTACTGGGGTATCCATTGACATAACCATTATATCATCTGCTGGCCTCCATGTACTGAATTGTTAATGGTGCCTTCTTTTTGAATTCAGTAAAGGGAACTTCTGTGACATGATTATATATTTTAGGAGTCTGGAATTAAAGGTTCTGTCTTCTGTTTTTCAGTGATAAAATCACTTCAGAATTGGTGTCTAAGATTGGTGACAAGAATTGGAAGATTAGGAAAGAAGGCCTAGATGAGGTGGCAGGTATCATAAATGAAGCAAAGTTTATCCAGCCGAATATAGGAGAGCTTCCAACTGCATTGAAAGGTCGGCTCAATGATTCAAATAAAATCTTGGTACGTAGAGCCTGTTCTTTGTCTCCGGCCAGACGGCAGTCCTTTCTCCCTTCTCTTGAGATTTTGGGCGCTCATGCCTGGTGTGTTTTTCAAGCATGCATAGTTGCTACAGCAGCTCCTCTGTGACGTGCCTGGCATGTTGTTCACCAGGTCTGGGACTTGACTTGCCCAGTTGAGTCAGTGGGTCATGTGGGATCCAGCTGCCTTAACCTCCACACCGTCTGCTGGCCCTCGAGGTTCCTTTTCATTCCAACTTTCGCTAGCAAAAATATGAGTGGTCTTTTTTTCCCTATTAAATAGAAATAGCTTCATCTTAATTTAAGTTTGTCTCAGGTTGGTAGATAGCAGGTTTAGTAAGCAAACCTTCATAAATCTCAGTTTGCTCTTTATAGGAACCTATTAAATATCTTTGCATAAAGCCACTTGCATATAAGTAGGTGTAATTTCTGTTTTTTTAATTTGGGTTTTTATATCATGATGTCTTTAAACTAGGGTTTACCTTACTTTAAAATTGTTTAATCTCTCTGTTCTAAAATTGTAATAATCAAGTTTGATGACCTCTAATTGTATAGCAGCAGACTTGCAGAAGTTTGAGCACAGCTTGCTTGTGGTTTGAATGTGAGGTGTTGGCTCTTTGCCCTCAGGTGCAGCAGACATTGAACATCCTCCAACAGCTGGCAGTAGCCATGGGCCCGAACATCAAGCAACATGTAAAGAACCTAGGCATCCCCATTATCACCGTGCTTGGAGACAGCAAGGTAAACCGAACCCTTTCCCCACAGCACCATTCTGGAGCGAGCCAGCCACATTCCTGGGCGAAGGATCATTTCTTCCCTGGAGTACATGTAAAGCCTTTATAAACTTTATAAAGACGACACTCTTAGAAGAATATTTTTCTCTCTCGGGAAGTATTAAAGTGACCAAACGCATCACTTTCTGTAATGCCTTTGCGATCCTTACTTAGATAAGTTTTCTCCTCTGAACTCAGGTTCTTTTTGTGAGATTTCTTTCTTATAGCATTAAACAAGTCTGTAAATGAGGTGCATTGTATCGTGCCTGTCTTGTATAGTGTGCATTCAATTAATAGTTGCTGCTATGATTATGACATCATTGCATAAAGTATTTTCAAAAGATTTTATTTAATTTTTAGTCATTATTATTTTTAAAATTTGCTGCTGGACACATGCATTCACCAGAGAATGACAGAGAGAGAGAGAGAGATGGGGGAGAGGGTGAGAAAGCAAGCCTTGGTCCAGGACTCAAACTGTGGTCGACCATGTGGGAGTCCAGCACCTTAACCACCACACCATCTGCTGGCCCCACATCGAGTATTGATGTGGTGGACAAGTATATGGATTTGGGGTCATGAAGTTATTGTCTCCTTTTCTCCCACTGCACTGTTAGAGTGGGATCTTCCAGTAGTTTAGTAAGATAGCTGTAGTTTTACAGTCCTAGAAGTCACTGAAGTGTCATTAAGATTGCAGACCTCTTAAGTCCTAAACTGAATATGTGAATGTCTGTTTAGTTTTAAGTACTTCATTATTTTTCAAGGAATTGGATTGTTTTAGTATTTTTTTCTTTATTTAAAATTTTATTCACTTCCTTATTTAAATATTTTTCAAGTCAATAAGTCCTTCTCATTCTGTGAATGCAAATTAATGTAAAACTGGGGACCAGCAGATGGCATAATGGCTGCATCGCTAGAGTCCCATGTAGTCGACTATGGTTCAAGGCCTGAACCTGGTGGCATAAACTGACACTGGGCGCATGTGCGTGTGTGCCCAGGATCCCAAGAGGAGAATGGAGGAGAAGGAATTGTGCCGTGGTCATCCCTCCAGGGGGTGATTTCTCACTTTCTGTCCCTCTATCTCTCTCTGTCTTTCTGGTGAGCACTTGCACCCTATAGCAAAAAAAAAAAAAAAAACCTCTCAAAAAAATTTTTAATATAAAAACATAACCTAAATGTTGTTAACAATTTCAGTCTTAACCATTACAAGGTTTCTGACATTTAGACTTCCATTCTTTAGCAGGTATTCATGGACCTACGATTTCTGAGATTCAGGAAATAAAGTCTGTTTCTCTTACATCATATTTTATGCCTAGATCACTATTTTATCTAATTAACCAAGTACAAGATTTTTACAGTTTGACATTTCATATTTCTGCTTTACTTTGGAATTGCCACAGAACTAGGTTCTATTTCAGAGGAAACAGTACTAAGTCTTCATATGGATCTGAGAGAAACCTATTGTTTGTGTTTATGTACCAAGTTTTCTATCCCCCATTTCCGAACTAGAGTTGATGCTATTTTTCCTAATTCTCTTGTCCATTCAGAACAATGTCCGAGCTGCTGCCCTCGCCACTGTGAATGCTTGGGCAGAACAGACTGGCATGAAGGAGTGGCTGGAGGGAGAAGATCTTTCTGAAGAGCTCAAAAAGGAAAATCCTTTCTTGAGGCAGGAGGTTAGTAGTATAAAGTAGTCATGTGCTTTACTTACGTCTTTTACCTCCAAAGGGGTTTGGATCTGCCTAAAAAAGATGCATTTGTTGGGGTTGGCAGGTGGTGTGGTGGTTAACGGCACTGGACCTCCCACGTGGCCGGCCATGGTTCAAGTCCTGAACCCGGTGGCTTGCTTTCTCACATTCCCTCCCTCTCCCTCACTTTCTCTGTCTCTCACTCTCGCTCTTGCTCTTGCTCTCACTCTGTCCCTCTTTGGTCAAATTAAAATAAATAAAAGTTAATTAAAATAATCATTTAAAATAAAGATACGTTTATGTTTAGAATTAATTTCATTGTTTGGGACCAGCAATTGGCGTAATGGCTATGTTGCTGGACTCCCCGGTAGTCAATCGTGGTTCGAGTCACAAACCTGGTGGCTTAAACTCACGCCAGGCGCATGTGCATGTGTGCCCAAGATCCCAAGAGGAGAATGGAGGAGAAGGGATTGAGACATGGCCATCTCCCCAGGAGTCATTTTTTGCTTTCTGTCTTTCTTTGTCTTTGTGGCGAGTGCACACACCCTATTGCAAAAACCTCTCTCAAAAAAAAAAAAAAAGAATGAATTTCATTGTAAAATAATTAATAAAATGAAACCAAATTCTTGGAGCATTTGTATTCATGTGCCATTCATGTGCCACTGCTGCTTCCTTTTTTCTTTCAAATGCTTTAATAGAAAAACATTGGAGGACTAGTTGTTTTGTGGAATTTTCTCTTTAACTCTGAAATGGTAAAATCAGAACTTAATTAGAACATGAAAGTAGAGTTCAACATTTTTAAAATGCATCATTGTAACCCATCATACCAACAGAATTTTAAAAAATTTTGTTAGTATGATTATATTGGTTGATGCAAAAAAAGCATTTGACAAAACTCAGCACTCATTTGTGGGGAAGAAGTCTCAGTAAGTTAGTAATAGAAAGGCCTCAGCTTTAGAAGAACATCTGCAAAATCTCTACAGAAAACATTATACTTAATGATGAAAGACTGAGTGCATTCTGTATAGGATCCAGAACTAGGCAGGGTGTCTACTCTCACGGCTGTTGCCCAGCAGAGTACTGGAAGTTCTGGTCCTTGCAGAAAGGCAAGAAAAGCAAATGAAAGCCTCACAGATTGGAAAAAGAATGAAAAAGAAAAAAGGAAATTGTCCCTAACTACAGTCAGCATAGAAATCCAAAGAAATCTGCAAGTAAAGTTAGAATTAATTAGTTAGAATTAATCAGAGTTCAGCAAAGTGCACAATACAAAATCAACACAGAAAATTAAACACATTTCTTTATAGCACAATGAATATTAAGAAACCAAAATTTAATGTAGTAACCATTTGCAGTTACTTAGAAAAAATTAAATCCTTAAATAGATACATATTTTACAAAACAAATACAGAATAAGTATGCTGAAGATGACAGAATGCTAATGAAAGAATTGAAAAAAGATCTGAATAAATAGTGAGAGGGATCAGCAGATGGCATAATGGTTATATCACTGAACTCCCACGTAGACAACCGTGGTTCGAATCCTGGACCCAGTGGCTTAAAGCTCACACTGGATGTTATGTGCCTAAATTCCTGAGAGGAAAATGGAGGAGAAGGCATTATGGCATGGCCATCCCCTGGGGCATGATTTCTCACTTTCTGTCTGTCTCTCTGGTGAGAGCATACTCCCTATAGCAAAAATCTCTGTCTAAAAATAAATAAATAAAATTTTTAAATGGTGAGAAATGCTGTATTTGTAAATTGAATGATTCAATCTAGTGGAAATGTCATTTCTTACCAAATTAATCTATAAATTTAATGCAACTCCTTTTGAATTTCCAGCAAGGATTTTTATAGACAGAGAAAAGGTTATTCTAGAATTCACTGGGGCAGGCCCTAGAATAGCCAAAAAAAAAAAAAAAAAGCATAAAAGGAAAACAGGAAAGCAGTCACTCTGCCATATTATTTAGACTTGCCATTTTGCTGACAGTCGAGACACCAGCGTGGGTTATGGTAAGGCAGTGGGATGGAGAAGGACACATAGGTCACTGGAACGAAAGAAAGAACCCAGACATAGACCCACACTAACATGATTGGCCAATTCTTCACATTTTACAAAAGCCACTCAGTGGAAGAAGGGTAGCTTTTCCACAAGTGATTATGGAGCAATTGGACATCCACAGGCAAAAAAAATGAACCTCAACCTAAATGCCACATCTTATGCAAAAATTAACTCAAAACAGATCATGGACTTAAATGTAGAACATAAAACTCTAGAACTTTTTAAAAGATCGGGACCAGCAGTTGGCGTAATGGCTATGTTGCTGGACTCCTATGTAGTTGACCGCAGTCCGAGTCCCAGACCCAGTGGCTTAGACTCTCACCAGGCACTTGTGCACGTGTGCCCAAGATCCCAAGAGGAGAATAGAGGAGAAGGGATTGCGGCATGACCATCTCCCCTTGGGGGTGAGTTCTGGCTTTCTGCCTCTATGTCTTTCTCTGGCTTTCTGGCGCGTGCACACACCTTATAGCAAAAAACTCCCGAGGAAAAAAAAAAGAAGAAGAAACATATATAACTGAAAATCTTTAGGATGTAAGGCTGGCAAAGAAGTCATAGACTTGAAACCAAAACTACAATCAATAAAAGGAAAAAGTTGGTAAGTTAGACCATGGTAAAATTAGTAACTTTTACACTGCAAAAGACCACGTAAAGATAAAAAGACAAACTATAGACTGAGAGGAACTATTTGCAAATTTCATATCTACTAAATATTTAGAATATACAAAGAACTCTCAGAATTCTATAGTTAAAAATAATTTAATTAGAAAATGGATAAAATACATGAACAGAATTACCCTGAAGAGGATATATAGATGGTAAATAAGTCTATATGAAAGATATTCAATGTTATTAACCACCACAGAAATGAAAATTAAAACTGCAATGAAATATCATTACACACTTATCAGAATTGCTAAAATGGAGAAATAGTCATAACATCAGATGCTAGGGAGGATGTGGAGAAACTTGAACTCTAATATGTGCTGGTGGAAATATAAAATGGTCTAACCACTCCAGAAAACAGTTGGGCAATTTTTTAAAAAGTAAACATGCAGTTACCATACAACCCAGCAATTATACTTTTAGCCATGTATTCTAAAAAAATTAAAATTTATATTCACACAAAAACCTATGCATAGATGTTCATAGCAGCTTCATTCAGAATAGCCAAAGCAGGGATGTGACTCACGTGGAGCATTTGATGTAAAACAGCCAGAAGCTGGAGCAGCTCAGATAGCCTTGAGTAAACGAGTGGTAAACAGACTACTGCAAATGCGTGTATGGAATGTATTTACAATAAGGAGCCAGCGTACAACAACTTGGATAAGTCTCCCAGGCATTATGCTATTTGACAGAAACCAATCCCAAATGGTTACATACTAGATGATTCCATTTGTATAACCAGTTTGAAAATGACAAAGTTTTAGACATAGAGAACAGATTGGTGGTGAGCAGGGATTAGAGATTGAGGAAGGAAGCAGAATATATGTGGTTATCAAAGGCAAGATGAGAAATCTTTACGTTGGGCTGTTCAGACTATTGTCTATGCTTACAGATGTCCTAATATACATGATAATATTATGTAAAACTAAATACATACAAATGAGTATACGTAAAGCTGGGAAAATGGCAATAAGATCCCTAGATTGTGCCAGTGTTAGTACTCTGCTTGGGATACTGTAGTATGTTTTGTAAAGTGATTACTATTGGAGGAAACTTGAGTAAAAAGATGAATGGGATCTTTATGTGTGTGTTTTTGTTTGTTTTGGTTTTTTTAGTAACTACAAGTGAATCTACAATTATTTTAATAGAAATTTCAATTAAAAATTAAAGAGGTATGGACTAACTGGTGGCGTGACAAAGGAGCTTAATTCCACTCGGCCAGTTAGGCAGTTTGGGTCCCACACCCAATGACAAAAACACACCTGGGTATAACAGGTGACATAATGGTTACATTGCTGGACTCCCATGTAGTTGACAGGGGTTCGAGTCCCAGACCTGGCGGTTTAAAACTCATGCCAGGTACATGTACGTGTGTGCTCAAGATCCCAGGAGGAGAAACAATTTTAGTGTGGTCCTCACCCTAGGAGATGATATCTTGCTTTCTGTCTCTGGCAAACACACATACCCATAGCAAAAATCTCCACAAGAAATAAAAATAGAAAAAAACACCTGACGCATGAGTATGCATACCTAAAATCCTTAAATGAGACTAGATAAAGGACTGTTATGTGTTCATACCCCCTAAGGGATGATTTCTCACCTTCCCTCTCTCTGTCTCTTTCTTTTTTTAGAGAGAGATTTTTTGCTATAGGACGTGTGTGCTAACTGGAGTGATAGAAAGCAAGAAATCACCCCCCCGAGAGCGGGGAGGTGGCCACACTGTGCCTTTTCCTCCATTCTCCTCTCAGGATTTTGGGCATACCTGCACACGTGCCTGGCGTGAGTTTCAAGTCGCTAGGTCCAGGACTCAAACCATGGTCGACCATGTGGTAGTCCAGTGACATAACCATTATGCCATTTGCTGGTCTTCTCTCTGCCTCTATCTCTTTCTCTCTCCAGCAAACACATGCACCATATAGCAAAAAACTAAAAAAAAAAATTAAAGAGATAGGAATTATTTAGGCATATAGAATAAAAACTGTCAGTGTAAGGTAGACAATAGAATTGATCATCTTTTGATCAAATAAATGTTTTGGGTCTTCTCTAGACAGAAATTTTGTAGAGCTTATAAAGATTAAAAAGGTAAATGAAAATTATTTTGTAAATGCGTTAAGAAAAATACACACTGGCAGCTGTGTATGCATGCCCCAAATCCTAAAAGGAGGGAGCAGTGGGGAAGAGGGGATTGCAGTGTGACCATGCCCCATGAGGGGTGCTTTCTCTGGTAAGCATATGCACCCTCCAACAAATTAAAAATAAACAAATTGTAATGGATTATGAACTACTAGTGTTTTATATTTAATGCCCAAGTACCCAAAGAACTCTCCTTACCTTAAAGATGACATCAGCAACTGCATATTTTATTTATTTAAATGTAGCACAGTTCTTGTGCAATTATTTCATATTGCAAAGTTGTAGTGTGACAGCTTATTCCGTGATTGGGACTAAGAAAATCATTAAGGCTGAGATCATAAATAATAACAATTTTCCACTTGAAGTTTATAACTAGTATTTCTTTCTTTTGGCAGCTTCTGGGCTGGCTGGCTGAGAAACTACCCACTCTGCGCTCCACCCCCACAGACCTTATCCTTTGTGTTCCTCATCTCTATTCTTGCCTAGAAGATCGAAATGGAGATGTGAGGAAGAAAGCCCAGGATGCTCTGCCATTCTTCATGATGCATTTAGGTTATGAAAAAATGGCCAAGGCTACTGGAAAACTAAAGGTACTGCTTCTTGTTATTGCTGCTGCTGCAAGCCATGAAAAAAATATATAACACAAATTTATATCAGCGAAAGATCGTATTACCATATTATTGAGTCGTTGGAAAAGTCATGACATGTTTTTCTATGAAAAATGCATCATGACTTTTCAGACTTTTTCATGACTTTTCAGCCCGATGAAAATCAATTTAAAATGCTAATAAGAGTGAACGTGTGTAGCAGTGTAGGACTTCTGGGAATCTGCTGACTCCACAGTGGTAAAAACCGTGACCTTCTAGAATGATAGCTGCTTTCACATGACTTCACAATGTTAGTTCTCCAGTGCTGTGTGCTACCTTCCTTATGCTATTGGGGTTTGAAAACGAGAAACTCAGACATTTATTTGACAGCATGTCTCTTAGTAAGCTTATTGCAGGTGTATCATTTATGTGACCTCTCACTTATTTCATTGTCTCTTTAGCCAACTTCTAAAGATCAAGTATTGGCCATGCTAGAGAAAGCCAAAGCTAACATGCCAGCCAAGCCTGCCGCTCCTGCAAAAGCAGCTTCTAAATCAATAGCAGGGTCAGCTCCAGCCAAATTCCAGCCTACTTCAGGTAACTCTTATCTTGAAAAGGGTTAAAGGGGAAGCAAATGGTCCTAAAGAACTCTAAAAAGATATCCAGCCTTCACTTTTTATCTCATTTTTTACAGCCTAGGTCCCAACCTCACCTTCCCTCTCTCCTGCACCCTTCTTTCACAAGTATTGTCAAGTATCTACCTATTTTATGCCAGAGAATGTGTTAAGGGAACAAAAATGGTTAATTTGGTTTCCAACTCCAAATAGAAATTTTACAGTAGCACAGTGAAATATTTCTTTCTAGAAGTATTCTACTCTTATTTTTTTAATTTCCACAAATATTTTACACTATTGCATATTATATTAAGAAATTGGGTGCATCTAGCTATTAGCAGATGAAAATAAAAACAAGGAAGTTAAGTGACTTGTGTACAGTTAAGCAGCCAACCAGTGCCTGAAGAAGCATAGAACTCTACTTATTCCATCACAAAGCAGTTCTCCTCTGTCTTAGCTCATCCATTATTGTGTAGCTCACAGAAATATGTAAGACTGGAATGATTTATAAAAAAACAGATTTTGGGACCAGCAGTTAGCATAATGGCTATGTCGCTGGACTCCCACGTAGTCGACCACGGTTCGGGTCCTGGACCCGGTGGCTTAAACTCACGCCGGGCGCATGTGTGTGCGTGCCCAGGATCCCGAGAGGAGAATGGAGGAGAAGGGATTGCGGTGTGGCCATCTCCCCGGGGGGTGATTTTTCACTTTCTGTCTCTCTGTCTCTGTCTGTCTGGCGAGCACACACACCCTATAGCAAAAACCTCTTAAAAAAAAAAAAAAGAAAGAAAGAAAGAAACAGATTTTCATAAAAAATTTTTTAATGGAGACAAAAAAAAGAAATAGAGGTTTATTTGACTCATGATTCTGGTAGCTGGAACATAACTGATAGAAGCAGAAAGGATGGCAGGCACATGCAGTGAGAGAGAACTTGAAGTCACAACATATAACCTGTAACTACTTCACGTCAAGGCTTATTGCTTACACATTTTTTTTTGTTGTTCAGTGGGGTAGAAGTTGTTGATGTAATGATAAATTAGGAATTTTACATGTAAAACTTTTCATATCAAAGTAAATGCTTGGTTATAACATTCACTAGGATCTTGTCATGTAGTAACACTGTATCAAAGATGACAGTCCCTACCCTTGAAGAAGTATCAGTCTGGCAAAAAGATTTTTTCACTATTGTTTAGAAAATTCTTTTAAAACTACCGTTTAGGGACCAGCAGAAGAAATAGAGGCTATGTTGCTGGACTCCCATGTAGTCAACCGCGGTTCGCATCCCGGACCTGGTGGCTTAAATTCACGGCAGGGACATGTGCGTGTGTGCCCAAGATCCCAAGAGGAGAATGGAGGAGAAGGGATTGCGGCGTGGCCATCCCCCCGGGGGGGTGATTTTTCACTTTCTGTCTCTCTGTCTCTGTCTGTCTGGCGAGCACACGTGCCCTATAGCAAAAATCTCTCTAAAAAGAAAGACAAAAAAAACCTACCGTTCTAAATTAATTTTATTATTATTATATTTTTAGTTTTAGAGAGGTTTTTGCTACAGGGCGTGTGTAATGATTAAAGAAAAATTTGAGAAGAAAACTGATGAAGAAACAAATCTAATAGGAAGAACTATAAAAATTGGTACATTTAAGACTAGCGTCTCTTGTCATTGTTACATATTTAACTTGACCAGAATAAAGTGACATTAACTGGCACTTATATATATAGTACATGCTTTTTTTTTTTTTTTTAAATCAAAGCCCCTGCTGAAGATTCTGTTTGCAGCACTGTAGACCTCAAATCTGATCCGAAAAAGGCCAAAGCTCAAGGAGTTTCCTCTAAAGCAAAGGTAAGTTAGCCATACATACTTTCATGTTTTTAAGTATGTTTTGTACTGAATCATTCCATTGGGAAAGATACCATATATCAGATAATCTCACTATTCTTGATCTTATCAAAGTATTTATCCAAGTTTCTGTGGCTTATTTTCTTTTTTAAGAATTATTTTATTTAAGTTTATTTATTTATTTGACCAGAGAGAGAGAGAAAGTGAGAAAGCAAGCCACCAGGTCTGGGACTCGAACTGTGGTTGGCTATGTGGGAGTCCAGCACCCTCAACCACCACACCACCTGCCAGCCGCCCTGTATCTTGTTTATAATAAGGCCCAAATATAGAGCAGCCTGCTCTCAAGGTACTGTCATGGTTCCTATCATGCTGCAGATCTTTGGGCAAGATTTGCTATAGTGAAAAGAGAAGAAAAGCATATGTAAAGATCAGCCAAGCAATGTGGCAGTTAAGGCAGCTGGATCCCACATGGCCAACTATGTGGTTCTAGTCCTGGACCCAGCAGCTTGAAAAACATGCCAAGCACATGTGTGTGCATGCCCGAAATTTGGAGCAGACGGTGGAGGAGCAGAGTCTGTAGCATCGTCATCTCCCTGAGGGTTACTTTTTCACCCTCTGTCTCTCTCGGGGAAGTGCATGTACCCCATAGCAAAATATAGAGGGTGAAGAAAGAAAAGCTAATGTAGCTCTGCTAGAATAAGCACTTTAGGGCGACGCAGACAATAGCTTGCTGAACTGCAGTGCTGGAAGCCACTGGCTGACTGGGTTCAGCCTCCCAGTCCACCTGGAGGATGCTTAGTGCATACTGACATGACAAGTCGAAGGGCAGTGGGAAGGGGTCCATGACATGATGAGACCTTGTTAAGGCGCCCGTTTCTCTCTTTCGTGTTTGTGGACACGCAACCTCCCATGAACAGAATTAACGTTAAAGGGTAAAACCACTTTATGCCAATTTACATTTGCAAAAGGGAGAGAAGCAACTTCTTTCATATTTGGCACAGCTTGGTCATCATAGTAAATAGTGACTAAGTATAATGACTAGTCTGTAAGAGGTACCTTTGTCCCCGCATCAGTGGGTCTTTTTGTTTGTTTGTTTTGAGTGGTTTTTGCTATAGGGCACGTGTGCTCGCCAGAAAAAGAGAGAGGGAGAGATAAAAAACAAGAAATCACCCTCCAGAAGGGATGGCCATGCCACAATCCTTTCTCCTCCATTCTCCTCTTGAGATCTTGGGCATGCACGCACATGCACCTGGCGTGAGTTTAAGCCACTGGGTCCAGGACTTGTACCATGGTCAACTACATGGAAGTCCAGTGACATAGTCATTACGCTAACCGCTGGTCCCTAGTGGGTTTTATTTTAATGCACCACCAATCCTTTCAGCATTCGTGCATAAGTTGTGTGATTTAAAAGAGTTGTGTTTAAGGGCTAGTCAGTGGCTTGGTGGTTAAGATGGCTGAATCCCACATGGCCTACTGCATAGTTCGAGTCCTGGACCTGGAAGCTTGAAAAACATGCCAGGCACATGCACATACATGCCTAAAATCACAAGAGGAGGATAGAGGAGAAGAAACTTTGGAGTAAGCATCCCCTGAAACCCAGAGGAGTGATTTTTCACTTCCCTTTTCTCTCCCTCCTCTCTCTATCTCTATTTCTTTCTAGCAAGCACACATGCCCCATAGCAAATTAAAAAAAAAAAGGAGTTGTATTCCAAATGTTCAATTCTGAATATCTTTGGATAATTTTTTCATTTAATTAACTTTTTGAATCACAGTAAATTGAAATTGTCATGTTTCTACATCAAAATTCAGAATTGTTCACTGTATTCATACTATTGATTATTTGGTACTTAAAAAAGAAAAACTGTAGAACTGTGCAAGTAATAGTAACTTTAATAGGAAATTTAATTGGAGAAGAGTATTTTATTTACTATATGTACTTGGTTTAAGAAGAAAAAAAAGTCGAGTAGGAACTCCAGTTAACCAGTTCATTTATTCTTAAACCCCATCATAGACTGGGCACTTTGTAGTCATTCTTCTACATAGGACAGTTACTCACTTTTCTTCTTTATACAGGTCCTTTAACTCCTCACTGATGTCATTTAAATGGGCAATTACCTTCTAAACTATCCTGTCAAGTTGTTCTTTTCCTAGCCCTCTCTCTGTCCTTATCCCCAATTTAACAAGTGCTGATTTGGGTTTTTTGATCACAAGTATGTTGAAGTATTTTTGACTGTTCTTTTTTTTCTTTTTTAATTGCCCTTGGGTACATGTGCTCACCAGAGGCAGAGAATGAGCATGCAACCAACCCCCAATGGGGTGAGAGAGAGGGAAAGCAACCCCCACTACGGTGTGGTCATGCTGTAGTCCATTTTCCTCCATTCCTCCATCCCGTGAGAATTCGGGGCACACATGTGCAGGTGCTGTGTGTTTTTCAAGCTGCTGGGACTAGGAGTCGGCCTCATTCGGCCTTGGATCCAGATGCACAGTGCTTAACCACTGCTGGCCCTTGACTCTGTTCTTAATGCCCTAATTTCACCCCAGTCTTCTGCAGTTTACGAAACAGTTTCACATGAATTACCTCATACTGGCTTTGTCAGAATGACTTTAGTGTTTGAACTAAAATAAATAAATAAATTTTGTCAACTAGAAATAGCTTAGGGACCAGCAGATGGCGCAATGATTACATTGCTGGACTCCCACTGGCCAACCGTGGTTTGAATCTTAAACCAGTGTCTTGAAAGTCATGTTGGGCATGCCCAAAGATCCTGAGAAGAAAATGAAGAAGAGATTGCAGCATGGCCACCCCCCTCTCCAGGAGGTGATTTCTCGCTTCCTGTTTCTCTGTCTCTCCAGCAAGCGCATGTGCCCTATCACTAAAATCTCTTGGGGGGGGGAGGGGGGAAAAGAAGAAATAATAAGCTTCTGTAACTTTTGTATTAATAATGATTCTGATAATGAAATTCAGAATTCACATGTTTTGCCTTAAATATATGCGCTGTTGTTTACTATTTTCTTTCCAGCTGACATAGCATTTTAAAAACTTGGATTCTTGGGACCAGCAATTGGCATAATGTCTATGTCACTGGACTCCCATGTAGTCAACCACAGTTTGAGTCCCCGACCTGGTGACTTAAACTCATGCTGAGGACGTGTGCCTGTGTGCCCAGGATCCTGAGAGGAGAGTGGAAGAGAAGGGATTGCGGTGTGACCATACCCCCTCCCCCCGGGGGGTGATTTCTTGCTTTCTATCTCTGTCTCTCTCTGTCTTTCTGGCGAGTGCACTTGCCCTACAGCAAAAACCTCTCCAAAAAAAAAAAATCTTGGATTCTTGGGGGCCAGCAGGTGATGTGGTAGTTAAGGATGTTGGACTCACACATGGCTGATCACAGTTCGAGTCCTGGACCTGGCAGCTTGCTTTCTTACTTTCCCTCCCTCTTTCTCTCCCTCTCTCTCTCTTTCTCACTCTGTCCCTCTCTGGTCAAATTAAAATAAATAAAGTCAAATAAAATTTTTTTAAAACTTGGATTCTTTTTAAAACCAGTTTAGTGACTTAAGTATTTTAAGTATTACTAGAAATTTCTCAAAAAGTAGATTCAGAGGGTCTTTGGTTACCCTGCTGTGGTAGAGATACATTTAAGTATGGAGAAAAACAAAAACTTTCTGAGCAAGTTGATGTAAAATGTGTGAATGCATTTAGAATGCAGTTAATATGGAAGCTGTAGGGCCAGCAGATGGCATAGTGGTTATATCACTGGATTCCCTTATGGCTGAGCACAGTTTGAATCCCAAACTGGGTGGCTTGAAATTCACACTAGGCGCATGTGCGTGCCTGCCCAAGATTCTGGGAGGAGAATGGAGAAGGGCTTGCACAGTGTAGTCATTCACCCTGGGAGGTGATTTCTCACTTTTCCCTCTCACTGTCTGTCTCTCCCTCTCTGGCAAGTGCACACACCCTAAGGCAAAAACATCCCCCACCAATAAAAAATATATATAGAAGCTATATTATGTTGAAGATTTCCAGAAAGAATTCTACAATGACAAAATAGTCTGCAACCTAGATACATTAATGGTTCTAGCAGTTTTTCCAACTGTAGCCCATGCCAGTCCATAAGCTGACCCGGTAGTCATTTAACAATGCTATTGGGAAAATGTCTAGAGAAGCTATACAAATACATACGACTATGTTTAAGATTCTATGATACATCTATTTCTTTCTTGTGGAATATAATGCAGAGAGGTGTTTCTGATTTCCGTAGTGCTCATTTAATAGGCAGCAACAACATATTTCCAAAGAAAAATGGCCTCGCTGATCTGTGTTCACAACCCTTGTTTGTAGAGTGCACAAGCAAAGAAAGTTCCAAGCAAAACCAGCTTAAAGGAGGATGAAGACAAATCTGGGCCTATTTTTATTGTTGTTCCAAATGGAAAAGAGCAAAGGATGAAAGATGAAAAAGCATTGAAGGTAAGAAAGAATTAAGAATCTTTAAGAGTTTCTAGCTGTTTTGTATTGTTAAAAATAGTTTTGTGGGGCCAGCAGATGGCATAATGGTTACATCACGGACTCTCATGTAATCAACCACAGTTCGAGTTCCAGACCCGGCCGCTTAACACTCATGCTGGGCATATGAGCATGCCCAAGATCCCAAAAGGAGAATGGATTGCAGCATGGCCATCCCCCTGGGGATAATTTCTCGCTTTCTATCTCTCTGGCGAGCACGCACGCTCTATAGCAAAAATCTCTCAAAAAAAAAAAAAAAAAAGTTTTACTGTCTGAAATTTGTATCATTGGGAAATACATAGTATTAACTATTTTCCCTTTAAATTATCTTAACTCTTCTAAAATGACTAGAAGTGTCAATTTCTACAAAAGAAACTAAAATGGAATTAATGCCTATTTTTCATCTGAATAAAAGGGAATGAATTAGTACTGTTCGTTATTTTCCTTTTTAACCTTTACAGTCAAAGAATAGGAAATGTTCATTAATTGTTACCAACTGGACACAAGTTTTGAGTCGTTAGAAAAGTCATGATCCATTTTTGTGTAGAAAAACAGAAAAAAATGATGGCATGACTTTTCCAACAACCCAAGAGTAGGCTGCTTCTTCAATCCTTGTTTCACGTATTTTTTTTTTAATGATTACTTAATTTTATTCATTGTCAATATCATCATCATTATTATCATTTAATTTGACCAGAGAGGGAAGGAAATAAAAAAAGCTAGCCACTAGGACCACCAGAGGGCAAAATGGTAGCATCACTGGACTCCCACATCGTCGACCGCAGTTCGAGTCCTGTACCTGGTGGCTTAAAACTCAAGCCAGGCACGTGTTCATGCATGCTCAAGATCCCAAGAGGAGAATGGAAGAGAAGGGATTGAGGCATGGCCATCCCCTCAGGGGCTGATTTCTTGCTTTTTGTCTCTCTAGCTCTCTCTCTTCAGCTAGTGTACATACCCTATAGCAAACTCCCCTTTCCTCCCCCTCAATAAAACAAAGCTAGCCACCAGGTCTGAGACTTGAACCATGTTTGGCCACGTGGGAGTCCAGCGCCTTACTCGCCATGCCATTTACCATCCCCCACAGAATATCTTACAAAGATTTGGTGACTACATATATGACTAGTTCAGTCATTTCTCTTATGTTGTTTTGCTTTTATGAGGTTCCTAAAAATGTTTTTTCAAAACTTATAAAAAATTTCAGGACCAACAGTTGGCGTAAGAGCTATGTTGCTGGACTCCCACATAGTCGACCGCAGTTCAAGTCCTGAACCCGGTGGCTTAAACTCATGCCAGGGGTGTGTAGGTGCATGCCCGAAATCCCAAGAGGAGAATGGAGAAAGGATTGCGGCATGGCCATCCTCCGGGGGGTGATTTCTCACTCTCTCTCTCTCTCTGTCTTTTCTGGCGAGCACATGCACCTTACAGCAAAAACCTCTCAAAAAAAAAAAAAGAAAATTTTTTTTTCAAACAGGAGTCAAATGGTGGTGTGGCAGTTAAACACAGTACTTTGAGGGTGACCCCAACAGGAAGTGTTGGTTTGCATTCAGAGACTTCCCTGAGCGTGCCAGGCATTTGTGTGCTCGTGATCTGGGGCTGGCTGAGGCAGGGGTGGATCGCAGAGTCAAGGTCCTGTTGTGAATGCTGTCTCTGTCTCTCATTCATGGACGAAATAAGTGAATACACTTAAAAAAATAAATGGGTACCGTAGATGGCATGGTGGTAAAGGGTCTTAGCCCACATGGGCAACTTTGCAGTTCAAGTCCCTGACCAGACAGCTTGAAAAACTTGGTGGACACACGTACATGAGTGCCTGAAATCCTAAGAGGAGAATGGAGGAGAGGGAATTATGGTATGGCCATTTCCCCTGGGGGGGATAGTTTCTCATTTTCCCTCTGTCTGTCTCAGGTAAGTGTACATACCTATGACAAAAATCTTTTTTTTCTTTTTTTGGAGACGTTTTTGCCATAGGGCGCGTGTGCTCGCCAGACAGAGACAGAGAGACAGAAAGTAAGAAATCACCCCCCGGGGGGCGGGGGTGGCCACGCCGCAATCCTCTCTCCTCCATTCTCCTCTCGGGATCTTGGGCACGCACGCACACGCGCCCAACTTGAGTTTAAGCCACCAGGTCCGGGACTCAAACCGCGGTCGACTACGTAGGAGTCTAGCGACATAGCCATTACGCTAACTGCTGGTCCCAGGCAAAAATCTTAATAAAAAAAATTTTAAAAGAAAAGAAAGAAAATTTTAAAAGCGTAGAGTACAACATGTAAAGAACTCCCATTGTAGTTTCCCTCCACAGGGTTTACATTAAAACCAGTTTTGGTGATGTTTTTCTTTGTGTGTGTGTGTGTGTGTGTGTGTGTGTGTGTGTGTGTGTATTCTTCCAGAAATTTTTTTCAAAGTCTATACATGTATTTACTTAGAAATAAAGGGATTGATTTTTACAGTGCTCACCATGTTGATGGCTTCTGGCCTCTACCTTCTAGCTGGCTGGACAGATATAAGCCACCTTGCACAACCTGTTTAGGTTGGGCTGGAACCAAACCTGGGCCTCCTGTGTGACCTCAGCCTCTGAGCAGCAGAGTGTGCACCACTGCGACTGAGCCTAGAAATAATGTTTACCTATACAGTCATGTATGTGAATATATAGCCCTTTTACACCATGGGGACATCCCATCCTCTTTGTTCTGTATCTTACTTTTTTCTGAATAATAGTCTACATATCTTAAAGATCTTTTCATATATTTATGTGTCACTTATTTGTACATGCTTACATACCTTTTTTTTAAGATTTTTAAAATTTTATTTATTCATTCACTTTATTTTAATTTGATCAGAAAGAAACACAGAGAGAGAGAGAAAGAGGGAAAGTGAGGGGACCAGCAGGTGGCGTGGTGATTAAGGCGCTGGGTGCTCCCACATGGCTGACCATGGTTCGAGTCCTGGACCTGGTGGATTGCTCTCTCACCTTCTCTCTCTCTTTGTGTGTCTCTCTAGTCAAATTAAAAATGAATGAATGAATAAATAAAGTTAAATAAATAATTTAAAAAGAGAGAGAGAAAGTAAGAAAGCAAGCCACGAGTTCTGGGACTTGAACCATGGTCAACCATGTGGGAATGTCCAGTACCTTAACCACCATGCCACCTGCTGGTCCTCGTGTGTTTTTCTTTATCTCTAATCCACTATACTGGACACTTGGGTCACTTTCTTTTTAAATAATTAATTTAACTTCATTTATTTATTTACTTACTTTTTAATTTCATCAGAGAAGGATAGAGAGAGTGAGAAAGTAAGCTACCAGGTCCAGGACTTGAACTGCAGCCAGACATGTGCAAGTCCAGCACTCTTAACCACCACGCCACCTGCAGACACCCACTTGGCTCACTTTTAGTCTTTAATTATTATAAACTGGATTACCATAAGCATCTTTGAATATAGGGTTCTTTTCTAGTACGTAGGGTGCACGTACTTGCCAGAGAAAAAGACTAAATCACCACTCAGGGGAATGGCCATATTGCAGTCCCTTCTCCTCCGTTTTCCTCTCTGGATTTTGGACAAGCACTCAAGTACATATGGCATGATTTAGAAGCCACCAGGTCCAGGACTCAAACCATGGTTGGTCATGTGGGAATCAAGTGCATTATTCGTTATGCCACCTACTGGGCCTGACTGTAGGTTTTTGTGCACGTGCTTGAGCAGATAGATAGATAGATAGATAGATAGATAGATAGATAGATAGATAGATAGATAGATAGATTAAATTCCTAGAATATTATGTACATTTTAAATTTTGGTAGATATTTCGAATTCCTCCTCTGTTAAAGTTGTGCCAACAGTATCCACCATGTTGTACAGTTATCACATAGCACTGACTTTTCTAGTAAGAATTACTAAAATTCCTTTGTCTAGAAGATTTTCCGTTGTCAACCTTTCAGCAGTGTAATAGCCGAAGAGGACATACTGCATTTATATTTAATTATAAATGAATCTTGTTAGATTAAGAAATTTCTTAGTAGGCCCCGCCACAGTGTGGTAGGCAGTCGGGGCACTACTGTCCGATGCTGGAAGTCATAGGGGAAGCTCCAGGTTTGTTTCCCAGATTTACCTGAACATCCAGGTATTCCCAAGACCTGGACTTACTGCAGTGCTTGGAGAAGGATCAGGGCATGCAGACCCTGTCAAGGGTAGCATGGATTTCTATATGTCTCTTTTTCAGGAAATAAGTATTTTTATTAATTTTTTTTTTTTTTTTAGATTTTTGGCATAAGTTGTGTGTGCTCACTGGAGGGAGACAGACAGAGGGAAGATGAGAAATCACCCCCAGGAGGAATGACCATGCCACAGTCTCTTCTCCATTCTCTTGTCAGTATGTTGAACACACATGTATGCATATTCAGTGTGATTTTTTTCAAGTCACAGGATTTGGGACTCAAACTGCTATCAGCCATGTGAGAGTCCAACACCTTCACCACCATGCCACCCTCTGTCCCCATAAACTTTAAAAACATGTGGGATTTGGGGGCCGGCAGGGGGCGTGGTGGTTAAAGGCGCCGGACTCCTACATAGCCGACCACGGTTCAAGTCCCAGGCTTGGCAGCTTGCTCCGCTCTGGTCAAATTAAAATAAATAAAGTAAAAAAAAAAATATATATATATATATATGGGGTTGGGACCCTTGCAAGGTATTGCTTTGGTGTTACAGGCCCTTTTATAATTCCAGACAAATTTTATGATTGTTTTTTTTCTATTTCTATGAGGAATAGCTCTGGTAGTTTGATTGAAATTGCATTGAATTTGCAGATTAATTTGGGTAGGATTGACATTTTGATTATATTCTTCCAATCCAGGAACATGGTATGTTTTTCCACTTTTTAATATCATTTACCATTTCTTTTTCAAGTGTTTCATAGTTTTCCTTATAGAGGTCTTTGACATCTTTGGTAAGTTTTTTTCCTAGCTGTCTTA